TTGATAAATCAAAATTTTACTGCTGACACAGATAGCTCTAAACAAACCAGTCAATTGCATGTTGACTTACAATGTACTTTCATACATCACAACACAAAGCTAACTACATGTCAAGTAATACATTTGGTTATTATCATTGAGCTTAGATTCCATGCTAATAAGTACAACTGCCAGGAATATAAGTTACGTAGTGTATATACATGCAATCATTTACAGCCACAACAAGGCAATATTTTAAACAGACATACAAACAAAATAACAAACACTCAAAGAAGAAATAACAGTTGCTTTTTAGGAATGTAGCTGCGGGTGGAGTAAATACACAGTACTCTATACAGCGTCAAAGTTTGTGCAGAATATATGGGAATCAATTTAAATAGTTAACAACCCTCTTTATATAACACGAAAGATGCATGGTCCATAAATTAAGTCTAATAGATTTTATCAAGGTTGGAAAAGAAAACATTGACCTCAAACAATAATCAATAGTGTTAAGCAATAGCTAGAGTTATGTCCCCTGTTTTGACCAACCTAAATTACTTGATATTAATTATCACACATGACAGCAATTGAATACTCATTGTTCTAAATAACTACACATAGTCAATGTGTACATGTATGGTTTTCCCTCTATAGTAAAGACCAGTAAATTAAACGAGAAGAGTAACACATATGTACACAAAGTGTTCTAGTACAACATATAATAACAGCTACATAATAGGACATCAAAATAATCATAACAAATAACATTTCAGATCCATTTGTAGAGAAATATCTTAAACACTCAATGTGTCAAATATAGTCCATGACAATCATATTCTAGTACATTTTAGTTGTAAACGTGGAAAATTTATAAAGAATCTCATTTTTTTGGTGTAATTAAACCTGATGAAGTGAAACAAAATAATATCAGTCATTCTTTAAAGTTGGATGCAAATAAAATCAAAGTGAAAAAACAAAAATATGATTATACATGTAATGATATATATTATAGATTAAAGTAGCAGTAATATTGTATCTAGTCATGGATGTAATTTCTTCCAATGTTTGCAGAATTCTATAGATGTAAAGAACACAACGGTATGTTTTAAATGTCTAATTATTCATGCAGTGAACGAAAATTTACTCGGCTAATGAGCTTTATAGTATGCTCCGAGATGTCTGTGAAACACAGTTTAGGCATCTCAGAGTATACTTTATATAAAATGTACCATAAAAACAGAATATTTTTGTACTGTAAAAAATACTGTTTCCAATTAATTATGTAAATCAAAATAAATCTGATACCATCCAACCATATACTTTTTTTAAGTATGAATATTTGAAGATCACTATAATCAATATCAAAAGATGTAATATTATGACAATAATACGAAGTTTTCGAAAATTCATAAGTTGCTGTTCTTTCAAAATAAAATAATAATAATGTAACCCTGGTAAATACTAGCCGCAATATATCGCTCGGCTATAGAGAACTTCTCTTTAGCTCGATCGGTTGAGCGTAAGACTAGTAAGCCAGAGGTCCCGGGTTCGATCCCATGCGGAGGTAGTGATTCATATTTAATTAATCATGCGCTCTGTTACATTGGCGCCCACGTAGGGACCCGGGAAAAATACTCGGCCTTGCTCCACAAGCATCGCTGTTACCCCTGGAAAAACTCGAGGACGAGTTCTTTCCTGGAAGGGGGAGTATGTAACCCTGGTAAATACTAGCCGCAATATATCGCTCGGCTATAGAGAACTTCTCTTTAGCTCGATCGGTTGAGCGTAAGACTAGTAAGCCAGAGGTCCCGGGTTCGATCCCATGCGGAGGTAGTGATTCATATTTAATTAATCATGCGCTCTGTTACAATAAGGCAACAAATCTTAGAAAGAATTAATTCATCTTACATTAGTGATATTGGTTTGTTGGTCAACCATTCCTGTGGTAGGACATTACAGAAAGATAATCAAATTAATCAAGAGTATGTGTGTTAAAGATACAGTACCCCTTTAGTGTCTATATAAAACCTTGTTAATCTGGACATGTAGTGAAACTTCAGCTTTCCAGAAAACTGGACATGTGTTACAGCAGACAAGACAGGTCATGATCAGAGTAAAGACATTTGTGGCAAGTAGCAAGCATTAAGGTAATAGAAACCCTTACCCCTCATTAGTGTGACATTTCTGCAAGGTTATCTCCCCTTTCCTTTGTAAATAATATTACTTTTCAATGCAATGAAAACACTCAGAAAGCAGTTAATCATACCTTGCTAAGTTCCACTGCATATAGTGAGAGAGTGAATTGTGAAGGGCAGGCTATATTTACTTGAACAAACTAGTTATGTCATGGAGCATCAGAGTAAGCACACTACTATACATAGCTACTAGCTACAGAAAGAACGGTCTAGGAATGGTGATATAGTCAGACAATACCAAACACACAAACATATGCAGCACATCAACTGTCTAAATCAGCTGTTGAACAAACATTAACTTGTCGTCATGAATTCACAAAAATAAACAACAATCATGATCAGTAACAATTTGTTCTATATGTAACTAATCATTATACATGTATATTAAACATACTACACATAGACTATAGTCATACGCATTTACTATAGTCAAACATACAGACTATAGTACTTGGTAATACACATAAAACCAGTCACACACATAAACTATTAGTCAAACACATAGACTATAGTCACATACATAGACTATATAATCATACACATTTACTATAGTCACACATACAGACTATAGTAATACACATAAAACCATAGTCGCAGCCAAATACTATTAGTCAAACACAAAGACTATAGTCACATACATAGACTATAGTCACACACATGTACATGGACTTTTAGACATAAAGTACACATAAACTGTAGTCATACATATAGACTATTAGTAACGAACTATGAGTCATACACATAGACTATATGCTATACATACAGACTATTAGTCATACATATGGACTATTAGCCATACATACAGACTATCAGTCATACATACAGACTATCAGTCATACATATGGACAATTAGCCATACATACAGACTATCAGTCATACATATAAACTATTAGCCATACATACAGACTATCAGTCATACATATGGACTATTAGCCATACATACAGACTATCAATCATACATATAAACTATTAGCCATACATACAGACTATCAGTCATACATATGGACTATATGCCATACATACAGACTATCAGTTGTACATATGGACTATTAGCCATACATACAGACTAACAGTCATACATATGGGCTATTAGCCATACATACAGACTATCAGTCATACACAAAGACTGACTTTTAGTCATACACAGATTATCAGCCAGACACTGTACACATCCTACACAGATTATTTTTCAGACACATAGGCTGTTAAGTCTTATAGTCAAGCATTAATAACATACCTTGCTTTCTGTTTGCCATTTATGTAACAATAGTTCATCAAACTTCTTATTCATAAGATAAGAATTTATGAAAAATTAACAAATAGATGTTCCGTAATTATATAATTGCCTTATACATGTACTGGAAGTTGTTGTCAATACTCATGGCAAACCCCCCCCCAAAAAACATGGATTTATAGATATAGTTATATGTAACAGATCTCCAAAACATACATGTATTAATTTATACAAGTTTGCCTCTTTATACAAGAAATAAGAGAAAAAATAATGTAACATGTTTTCTTAAATGACAAAATCAACAGTCTAGTGTATGTATTATCTATTGTAATCACCCATTACCAATATCATTGTTTTGGTGATTTTTTTGTTAATTTTCTGTGGCTAATGATTGACTTTTGCAAAAAAAGGTTGAACAGCTATAAAAATATCTTGATAAAATTTTGTGTTGAAAAACATTTGTGAAATTCAATTGAAGAGATAAAAAAGTGGTTTATATTAACTTGTATTAGTATTATTGTTATATAACATTTAAGAGATAAAGTGGAGTTACTACAAGTATAACTTTGCAATTGTAATATCTTTTTCAAACACCATTGTGCAACTTAACCAGTGAGAAAAATGTTCCTATTGAGGAAAAATATTGATGAATAAATACATGGCTATAATTATTTGTGTTTTCATAGAATGAAGACAAAATTCTGGCGATATCAGTGAAGATTCAATAACTGATCCTAAACAGTAACATCCAAATGTGTCCTAACCGTCAACACTAAATCTCCCAGATTCTGATGTTATAAAACAATTAACAAAACATTATTCAGAGAGGAGATAATCAATCTTTTACCAACCAAATCAGTACATCTTTTTAATGATTACTTAACCCTTTCATCCCTATGTCACTTTAGTAGACTCTACCATGCATTGATCTGGAGGAGTCAATTATGGTCTTCAGTGGTGAAAGGGTTAAAACAAATCATTTATATATAGTTAGTCAGAAGAAATCAAGTGATTAGGTAGCAGAGTACAGTAGAAATGGTTTGACCCTAAAAATAAAGGACATGTCTCGGATAAACATGGATAGCGGATTCAACCTGCACAACACACCTACATATATATATATATGTATTTCTAAACTACGTTTTGAATACAGTTTTTTTAGAAGAATGATTTTTTTTTCGAAAAGTGATTTTGTTACCACATCAAAAAATGCAAAAAAATGCAAAAAAACATGATTTTTAACCCAAAATTTGACCCACGCAAGTAGTAATTGTCTTCTTAAAACCTGCCTTAATTAAATATCACCTACTCGGTCACAGAAATACTCATGTTTTAGCATAGGTTGCAAACTGGATTTTTCACAATATTTACACATGTGCTCAGTACAAAAATAGACTACATGAAAAGCTAGCTTTTGTTGTGTAGACACAGATTCGTAATTGGCCAAAAATGTAGTCTCAAGCCAAATTAAAATATTTTTTTAAAAATGTGAAGCCCATGTAGTCCAATTCATCATGTATATGCCAATTTTAGAGCTGATTTTTTTAACTTTTGATACATGTAATATTACAGAGGTTATTCATTGTACAAAAATATCACCCATGGCCACCGTACACTGCTACCTTAGGAACCACCGTACGCTACTGTACACTGCTACCTTAGGAAGGCTAAGACATATTATGGACATTATTCTTTTTTATCTTTTCATCTTACTACAGGGCTTGTTCTTATCAATCAATATTAAATTTTCTTTATTATAATGTGTCATTTCAATTTTCTTCCCATACGACTCAAGAATCCACTCTTCCTAATCCCTGTTAAATAAATATATCACAAAATATTTCTTTTTACATTTATTTATCAATGCATTATCAATTTTTCCTTGAAAACACATTAGTGCTGTGAGTTAATTAACTGCATCTTTGCTGAAAGCTTAGTGCAATGAGTATGTGCTGCTGCGGATTGACGAGGACAGAAACGGATTAGGATCAGGCTCTTCTTTCATCATGGTAACCTTTATCCATTCTTTGGTTTTATTTGATTTTCTTATGGCGTCCACAACAGTCTGAACATACAGTGAGTCTTCAAAATTTGCTGCCTGCAATACTGGATCTTGACAGTAACTCTGTCGTTCTTCTTCTTTCTCAAAAGCATCTTTTACTGCTTCGATCATCCTAATGATTCCCTTTAAATATGGTGTGGCAATCTCTGCTCTAGTTTTATCTGAAACTCCATGTCTCTCCTCCTCTTTGAAGTTGATGGGATCAAAGTGTATAAGTCTCTCTTTCTTTTCCGAATGCTTCTGACCATACAAGTCTGCACCCTTGGCAATCAGACGACCTTTCGTTCCTACCATGAGTATTTCCTGTAGGAACACACCAGGTATATGACTGTTGATGGTAACAGTAGCACAGGATCCTTTGTCAAGTTCCATTTGAAAGGAACAGAAATCATCACTAGTTATTTCTCTGATACCTTTGATTTTTTCGGTTTGTTTTGTATAGGTTTTCAACATTCCATGAACTTGTGTAGCTTTTTGACCAGTCAGATATGAAATGACATCAATTATATTATTTCCTATTGTATTAAGAACCCCGCCTCCCATCATTTCATCACACATCCAATCAAACTTTTCTTTTGGACTAGCTTCAAAATGTATGTTGACTTCGCAAATGGTCATGTCTCCAATGAAACTGTCTTCCATAAGTTGTTTCATCTTGCAAATTGTTGGCAAGAAGCGCAATCCGAAAACAATGAATGACATTAATCGCGGGTAATATCTTGAGGCGTTAACCATCCGTAAAGCATCTACCTGGCATGGTCCTGCCGGTGCCCCACATAGTACGTGCTTACCTATCCCCAGGGCTTTTACGGCAATAGGTGATTGGAGGTGAGGGGGGCAGCTTATAACAACAACATCCACGTCTCTATTGAGCAGGACTTCATCCACCCTATTTGTACTGAATGGTATGTTCAATTCTTTGGCTAGCTCGTCTGCTTCCTCCTTCGTTCGACCCCACAATGCGGCAACGTGAAACCCACATGATTTCAAAAGTGGAACATAGGATCGTATTGATGTTGTGGTACCGAGCACGCCAATACCAGGAAGCATTTTCCGCATTCTGCCTCATTTACTAAGACAGTTCAACCATCAGTTCGAAACATCAATTGCCCACCTTATGTGCATTGAAGAAATGAAATGTCTTATGCATGCATTTGTAGGGCTTTTTGTCTTATTCTCTGCGTCAAGGATTTTCTTTCTGAACCCCTTCTTGACAGGCATTCAATGTCAATGGAACGCTTTCAATAGACCACTCCTAAAACAAACATTTCAGAGATGCTATACACGTTTTTTTTATGTCGTAAACAAAACAATTTTGTATGCATGAATGATTATTTCAAACAAACAAGATGATACGACGAATTATCAGAGTTTATATATCATCCCTGTTCTGGTTTGTTAACTTTAAATAATCATAGCATATTTCCTCTAATTTTACGACAATTACATTTTTTATACTTTTCATTTCCGGGTTCACTGTTGTTGCATTGCTGAAAGTCAAGTTTTAAAAAAGTTGCCGACATCTGAGGTATGAATTATTCAACTTATACAACTGTTTGGCATAATGTCTTGCGATATGGTCCAATGGTTTTCTTGTTGTTGTAAGCTATTTTTGTAAACTCAACCAGACTTTGGACATTTTGACATATATCGTCTACTGTAGTCACCAGTTTCCGCGCGTTATGTATTTCCGCGCAGCCATTTTATCAAGCTATATCTAGTAACTACGTGACCTGCTGGACACAACACAAGGATATTTTAGACGTTTTGCCATCGTCTGTAAACTGACTCAAAAAATAACGGAAGTTCGTCCGGAAAACATCAGAAATAATCACCGATTAAAAAACACGCATAAATATGCAGTTTTGCTTAATGCACTTTTTATCTTGCTCAAAATGAACCCATACCTGAAAAAACGATGATATATCATTCATGAACCGGTCTTTTTTGTAGTCTGACAAACGTACGAAAATGTCGTATGCAAATGAGGCCACATCTCCTCGCCGATTTTTGTCCACTTCCGAAGAGCCAAGGAGACATTCTTATGTCGATAAACAGTGTTTTCAATAAAACGTAAACCTTGTAATGCAATGAACTTCCAATTTTAACCAATTTTAAACAGAACAAAATGAGAAATAACATACCATCAACCAAAACCGATATAAAACTGCAGAAAAAAATAATAACAGATTCTATATTATAACTAAATAAATAAAATAAATAAATTTATAAAATTACATGAATTCGTTCAATTTGACATCTTGAAAAATCATTCAAAAATGTGAAATTTAAAAAAAGTTTTTTTGATAATTAATTTGACAATCAAAGATTTTTTTTTAATTCCAAGTGAAGCTTTTGTTCTTGCAGGCAGGGACGTATATACTGTCCCTGTTGCAGGTCACTGTAGAGATTATTTTTAGTGTATCAAGTTATCTTTCTTCGAACACTTAATCAAAGTAGACACAAGGAAACATATGACGGCTACTTCCGAAGGGAGAAATTTGTTAAAAATTGTTTGTTCTGATTTTTAGCCCACCATCATCTGATGGTGGGCTATTCAAATCACCCTGCGTCCGTGGTCCGTCGTCCGTCCGTTGTCCGTGGTCCGTCCGTAAACAATTCTTTGTTATCGGTATTTCTCAAGAAGTACCAGAGGTTTTTTTCTCAAATTTTATATGTAGGTTCCCCTTGGTCCTTAGCTGTGCATGGCAATTTTTGAGACTGATCGGATTAACAACATGGCCGACAGGCAGCCATCTTGGATTTTGATATTGAAAGTTTGTTATCGCTATTACTCAAGAAGTACCAGAGGGATCTTTCTCAAATTTTATATGTAGGTTCCCCTTGGTCCTTAGCTGTGCAGGGCAATTTTTGAGACTGATCGGATAAACAACATGGCCGACAGGCAGCCATCTTGGATTTTGATATTGAAAGTTTGTTATCGCTATTTCTCAAGAAGTACCAGAGGGATCTTTCTCAAATTTTATATG